ATACATTTGTGTGGGTGTAAGTGTATATGCTAAAAATCTTCTCATCATTACTTCCAAGGGAGAAAACTTAGAAAACAAGTTAGACTTTATAGAAAGTCATTTCATGAATATGACAAACATTTATTAAAGAGTTCAGCATTTGCTAGCTGCTTGAAGCACTGTATGTTACAAGCTCATTTGCTAGTCATAGGACTCCAGGAGAGAAGTACATTACATCCGGTAGCACTTATAGAAGAAAATACAGCACAGAAAAGGCATTGTGCTTGCCCAAAGCTGCAAAGCTGAGGAGGGTAGAACCAGGGTTTGAGTGCCATCAGCAGAGGTTCCAAGGCTGGCAGTTCTCAATCATTCCCTGAGGATAGAGAGTAAGTGACAAGCTGAGGAAATTGCTGAGATTGTCCAAAAAGAATGAGCAGAATACATTATCCAGCCAGACTACAGCTGCCTCGTCTCTCAGGGTACCTTGCACACTTTCTCAGGTGGAATTCTGTTGAGAAGCTCTCAGTGAGTTAGTGCCAGCTCTACAGCAATAAAGTCCTAGAACTTGGGGCCAACACAGAATGTGAGCAGGTGGACACTGTCTCTACACAATCTTGAATATGTGATCTTCCTGCCTCCATCTCCTGAGTGCTGGGATCACATGTGTGCACCACTGTGTCCCATGCTGGGGATGGGATGCAGGTCTTCATGCATGCTAGGCAAGCACTTCCCAGCTGAACCACACTCCAGTCCTCTCCTGCTTCTTGAAATCTATTTACAGACACATTTTGGTGCCTCACTGTCTCAGGCTAAGACTTACCAAGTCCTCAATCCCTGTAAGCTACTAAACTTCAAAGCAAAAATAAGACCATTTTGTCCTCTAAATGACCTCCCACAGGAATGCTTTGTAAAATGAAATAATATAATTAAACAGAATATAGTGAGAGCAGAGGGGGCGGGAACAGAAAATCGGACACAATAAAGAGAACAGTGCTGTGAGCTGGAAAATGATAACAGATCATCTTTTAAGCCATCCAGCCACAAAGGGGATGCATATGTCCTGTCAGGTCCTCTCTGCCTAGGCTCAATCTGTACCTCTTTTTGAGCCTCAGTGACTCACTATGTTTGAGAATTCCTAAGCTAGATAGATGTCCTTTGCTAGGACTCTTGGCTGAACCTCAGTTACTGAGATGGGAGGAAAAATCCGCTTGTACAGTGGAGAGCCACCTGCAGTTCATTGCAAACAGTTTTTTTTTGTGGCTGTGATTCAAGCTAGAGAACTCATCTCTGGAGCCACTGCATCCATTTTAAGGCCTAAGAAGATGCCTCAGCCTCAGCAAACATACACAGGAGGAGGTTCGTATTGGGCTGAGCCAGCTTCCTCGGCACGCGTGAAGCAATGTGGATAGCCACCAACCAGCTCTATTTAAAGGGGAGAACCAAATAATTGTGGATCAGAACCAAGTGTACACACCCACACACATACACACACCCACACTCACATACAACTCCCTTAACTGACAGCAAATCTATTTTTAAATGTATCATTTTTAAAACTTATTTTTAATTGACAATTGTACATACTTATGATATACCTTCCACATTTTGATACTGCTATGCTAGTGAGTTGGCTACATCAAGCTGATTAACATACCCATTACTCACATCCTTATCTAGTAACAACTCTAAAGCTCATTTCTATAAGTCTAAATTGCTTCAAGAGTCAGGATCATGGAAGAGAGTGTCCTTCACTAAAGTCCTCTGCTATCAAAGTCCCAGCTATGGAAGCCCAGACTGTATGTAAATAAAAGAATAAGTAAACATTGAAATGAAACTTTGTTGAAGTAACATGACAAGTGGGTAAAAAAAATTCATTAAGGGTAAAGGTTGTACCCTTCTTCTTGGCCCTGCTGTTCAACGGAGATGGGTTCTTCCAGAGGTCTGAGGTTCAATTCGGTTCCAAGAGACTAGTTCTGTCTACAATCTGGCCTGTCTCACACCTTCAGAGTGGAAAATGGGCTTCAGGAGTATCTGGTAGATATTTCACAGAGTGATTTATGGTCCAGCACTGACCAGCTTACAAAGGATGTTATTTGCTCACACTCCTTTCTGTTTTCACTGTCTGTTTGAAACAAGGTTTCACTATGTAGCCCAGTCTGGCCTTGAACTTGCTGCAATCCTCTTGTCTCAGCCTCCTTCTGGGAAGACAGACATGAACCACCATGCCCATCTTGGTCCCAACACTCCTTGAGCTGGCCCATAATTTCCTTGTCATGATTCTGAACTGTGTTTGAGACAATTTAGTATTTCTTCAAATACCACTTCCCCACTGGCTACGTGGCTCCTCCATTTCATCTCTTGCCTCCTCACTTGCAGCCCTCCTGCGTCTTGGCAGTGTGTCCCCAGTTGCCCCACAGGAGTTGCATTTCAAGTCACTCGAGTGCTCTATTTTTAGCAAAGCACGTGCTATGGCAAGAATTTTAGAATCCGGCCTAGTTGCATGGATGGAGAGGGTGAGTGGTGAAGTCAGTCTTGATGAATGCCCGTGGAATGCCAGTCACTGTCACGCTTCTTTCCTCATCAGTTACCCCCACTCGCCAAATGAAGAAAAAATCAGCCAGACTACTGAAAGACTTAATGACACACCCAAGGCCACACTACCAGTACATTTTCCTTTCTAGTCTGATCCCAAAGGCTACATTTCTTCCAAGAAGTCTCTAACCCGGGAGGGTTAGTTAAAGGTTGAAAGAACAGGAGGCAATAACTTGAGGTCCATAAGGCCCCGCAAGTCCCCACCCAGTGGCTGAGTGCCAGAGTCCATCGCCTCCACCTCTTTCTGGCTTGACGACTCACCACCTTTGCTCTCCAAATTAGGACTTCACATTTCGCCGCCTGCGTCCTGGACTACAGGTGAGTCCGTCCTGGACCCACCAGAACCCTGCAGCTGAGCCCTCCATCACAGGACACCTGGCCTTGCCCAGCCTCACAAACCAGCTAGCTGTCACAGTACCCTAGGCCCCTGACCTCGCCCGCCATCAGCCTACGTCAGCCACAACCCACCCTGGAGCCCTGCTCCCCTTACTCCGCCCCCTTGGGGCGGGCCTTACCCAACGGCGTCTTGACCTATTGGCCAAAGACGTCAAAAGGAACCAATTGTAGAAGAGTGATCGGCTAGGAATCCCCCCCAGCCCCCCACCCCCCGGCCTCCACGCTGAGGAGCAGCCCCATCGACCAATGGGCTGCCAATCAGGCTCCGGGAGCGCGCCGAGCAGCAGAACAGCGGCTGAGCTATCCAATGAGGAGTCTGGTACCCCCCGGGTGGGGGCGTGGCAGAGGCGGTCGTCAGGGGCGTGGCGGCGGTTGCCTGGGCGTGGCCGGTAGCGGCGGGAGCTGCGCTGGCCAGGGGTTCCGGCTGTATTTCCATGAGCGCAGCCGGCAGCCGCGGAGCTGCGGGAACCAGACTCGGGGCCAGTTGGACCGCCAGAGTCCACCGCGCAGGTAAAGCCACTGCCGAGCGAGCTCCTCCGAGTGGAGATCGCGAACTGAGGGCGTCCGGGCCAGAACCCCGAGACCAGCGTGGCTCGGCCCATCGCGCCTCTGCCTGCGCGCTCCGGACCCTCGAGGATGGTTGTTGGGGGTACTGTCAGCTGGCATTTCGGGGGTCCCCAGGGCCAGCTTGCCTAGTGTCGGGACAACCCTGACCACGGGTGGGATACGCCTTCCTGAAGGTCCTTTGTCCTCTCCAGGTCGAAGAACCGAGGTTGGGGACCACGCCGACCGAGGCCTCCTGGCTGCCATCCCCTACCTATCTCCCATCGATGCTCACTCTTGGGCTTTTGGGGGGCTGGGGAGGAATTTGCTGGGCCGAGGTTGGGGAAGAAGGATCCTGCAAACCTGAAAGAGTCTGACTGCAGGCACGGATATTCGATGGGCCTCTGTGTTTTGGGGTACCGGGGCTTACCTAGGACCGATGGGTTCAAGTTCTAGGGAAGCAGTTTTTGACCTACTTGGAGGCGCACTTTATTGAGCTCTCCGGGCAGCTGTACTAGGCTCTTCCTGGGCTTTCCCCACAGTGAGATCTGTCCAGCAGTGCCTGAGGCTGCCTGCCAGGTCGGGCAGCTGGAGCCTCGACCTTGGAAGAGTCTAGGCAGAAGCTGGATGACAGCCACCTGTCTGGGATGCTCAGGAAGAATAGGACTGACTGTATGCTCTGCCTTTAAGGCCCTTTTCTCCATCCACCAGTGCACTCTGGATGACATTTAATGCCTAGGTTGAGGATACTTACAGGAATCCACTAGGTTTCAAGGGGGTGTTGAATTCATCCATAATGATTTTTGAGCTTTTAGCTCTGGTGCGTGTGTGTGTGCAAAGAGAATGGAATATATGAAAAGATAAATCATTTGCCTTACTGCACCCTCCATAGGGGTTACTCTTTCTGGTCCCTCTATTTTGGTATCTCCAACCCATCAGTTTCACCTGGTCCAAAGGCAGGTTCCAAGAACAGGCTCTGAGGAGATTGCAGGTTTGGCAGAGTCAACATGATTTGTGCCCAGAGCTTTTCAAGGGCCATTTGGTTACAACCACATTAAGCAGAGTGCATTTCCCCTCTGCATTACCTTCTATCATGTGCATGAATAGAAAGGACTGAATCTTCTGAAGGTCAGGAAGGAGGAAAATAATTATAAGCCAGCTTGCCTGTTTGAGGATGGATTAAGCTTTGAGTAGCCAGCCAGAAAGCAATTCAGTCCCTACTGCTAATTGTCAATGTGAGCTTGTGGTGTTTTAAAAGCTAAAAATTTGGAGCCCATCTCATTCATTCCCCTTAATGTATAGATGAGGAAACTGAGGCCTGAGATGGTCACAAGGCTGACTGGTCACCACAAAGCCATGACAAAGAGTTGATCTCTTGATCCTAGATCTAGCCAGGGGATGACTTGAATTTTACTCATAGCTTCATTCTCCTTTTCTGTTTAAGTTCTAGAGGAGCCCAGAGAGAATAGAAGCACAGACTTTGGCATCTAAGTGCCTGGGTTTGAATCTTAGTCCGGCTACTTCCTGGCTGTGTAACTTTGGGCAAGTTGCCTGACCTCTCTGTGCCTGTTTCCTCTTGGTAAGACAAGGGATGATAATGGTACTTCGGTTAGAAAATGGTTTGGGGGAAGCGCATGCTATTCGGAATGTTTAGAACAGTGCCTGGCCCATAGTAACCATGGCAGATTGCCAAAGAGAATGTTCTGTTGCCTTTTAATGTAGCTTTCCTTCACATCTACCACCCAGTATTTTCCATCCTTAAACATATTCCAGATTTTATTTTTACATGGGTTCCTGCGTCATGGTGCATTTTTTTCTTCTCTATTTTTCCTTTTATTGAATCAGATAATTTAGTCCCTCTGTTAGCTGCTGCCTTGTGATTACACTGCCAGTCATTTTCATCATCTTTACAGGGAGTGAAAGGGAACCTCTCAAAGTGGTAGACAGAGTCCTCTGGATCCCAGTCTACATGATGTCCTTCCATATACGCCTTCCCTCCGCCCAGCCTTCCTCCCCACTTGTCAGTATGATTCAGCTTCCTTATAAATGGATGAACATTTTTAGATTAAGATTTCATGAGCCACTGAATTAAGTGCTTTTGGGAAGTTCAGGGATCGGATGTCAAGTATGGTTAAGCAAGTTCCTTAGTCATTTGAGTAGGGGAGCAGCAGCGCTGGTGTGGCCTGGCAGAGACGAGTGTGTGACTGATTCTTGCTGGTGTCCACTTGTTCACCTTGTCTACATTTTTCCTGCTCTGTTCTAGAGCCTGGCATAAACCAGATGGCAAATGCAGTGGAGTGGTCTTTCCCCTTTTGTTTTGTGGGGAGAAGTTTCGTTCATCCCTCTTTGCTTTCCCTTTTATTTCCACTAGCTCTTTAATGCCTTCGAAGTCCATTAGGTTCCAAAAGGGCGTTGAATTCACATATCATGAAGCATGGTCAGTTTGCCAGATGGTCAGTTTGCTGGCAGTTCCCTATAAATGAACGATGCCTGTCACCTTTTTTGTGTTTGTTGTTTTATTTTGTTTGGTTTGTTGCAGAAATCCACTCTGGTGTGGTTTTCCCTTCTCTAAATTGAACCAAAGGTGATAAATGCTTCTCTGATAGGAACCTAGGATTCTGGATTCTGAGTTTGGGGTTTTTGTTTGCCTCTTCCAGCACTCAGCCATTTTAGAATAATAGTTTTCTTTTCTTTGTGGTCTTGCTCCTTCCCTGTGGCATTCTGACTGAAAGATGACTTCCTATTCACTGTTTCTCCCCTTCCCTCACTCACACTTTCTCCTGGTAATCTCTGGCAGACCCTATACAGTATAGAGGTTCCCACTGCCCTGGCTCACAGCTCCTGCCCAAAGCACAGCATAGTCTGGTAGTCCTGTGGGAGACAGGGGAAGTCTCTCTTATTTTGTTAATTTTTAAATTTTTTGCTTAAAATTTGGTTGTATGAAAACCCCTAGCAGATGGGCATTGCCAACATAATGGAATTCCATCTGGCAGAATTTCTGCCATGACCATAACCTACAATACGACGATTTTTATTGGATGAGGGTTTTGAACCCTCCTTGACCACTTGAAGAGTGTTGATGACATGGGGCCTGAGGTGCTGTAAGCCTTCCTGTTTCATCTTGGCTAAGGTATCCTAGGAATAGACACTGGGAGTGTAGGGGACCTCCTGATGTGGTCCGTGTTAGGATTTTACAGCAGCCTTTCCTGCTCCAGCATTTTGGCCTGTGCGTGATTCAGATCTTTTCTTTGTTTTGAGACAGGTTCTCAATATAAGGCTCCAAATTCCAGTCCTCCTGCCTTAGCCTGCTGAGTGTTGGGATTTCAGGCATGCGGCCATCATACCCAGTGATTAAGGCCAATTTAAACCCTTATGCTTTTTTAAAACATTTTTTTATTATTTTTATTTTATGTGTATGCTTATATTGCCTGCATGTAGGTAAGTGCACCCGTGTCGTGCAATGCCCGCGGAGGACAGAAGAAGCTGTCCCTGGGTCTGGACTTAACAGACAGTTGTTAGCTGATATGTGGATGCTGGGATTCAAACCCGGGTCTTCTGCAAGAACAACCAGTGTTCTTAACCACTGAGCCATCTCTCCAGCCCCCCTTATGCTTTTTTTCCCCCTCATTGATAGCATATCAATGAAGTTACTTTCCAGAACTTTTTTTTTTTTTCTTTTTGGAGACAGGGCCTCCTATAGTCCAGGCTGGCCTTGAGCCTACTGTATAGCCAACAATGTCCTTGAACTCTGAATCTCCCTGCCTCTACTTCCCAAGTGCTAGATGATATGCATCACCAGCTACCACATCCTCTTCCTTATGGGTAGTTTTATATTTTTGTTGTCTTGGTTCCAGAGCATCATGTTTCAGAATTAAACATTTTTTGTTTATAAAATAGCTGCTGTGGACAGATGAAGAACCCTGCTGTTACCCTTGTAGTATGCGCTCTGAGCCCAGTAGGCCCATTCTCTGATCTTTCACACGGGTGAAGAGTTGATTAGAGAAGTGGAACACTGATACTCTTGGTTTGCCTGGTTTCTGACTTTTCCCTTATTGTCTTTAAGTGGAAGTTTCTTGTTATTTTGAGACAGGTTGGCCAGAAGCTGGTTGAGGTGAAGGATGACCTTGAACTCATTATCCTCTTGCTTTCACCTGTGGAAGAGCACTGGCATTACGGGCCTTGGTGCTAGCACACCAGCTTATGTGGTGCTTGGGGACTGAACCCATTGCCTCCTGCATGCTAGGCCAGCGTTCTAGCAATCAAGTTGCACCTCCAAGAGATGGTTCAACGAATTCATTATCTGGTGTGTGCCAGCAGCACTGTTAACCAGACCAAGTATGTTTGCTTTGTTACAAAAAGACTACTTGTTTTTAAATTATTTCTACTTAAATATTAAAAATTTAATGCACTTCATTCAAGTTTTTTTTAATGGATAATGCAAGGCCAAGTGTGGTAGCTCAGACCTGTCATCTCAGTGTTTGGGAGGCTGAGGCAGAAAGATTGCCATCAGTCCAAAGTCAGGCTGAACTACATAGTAAGTTCCAGGCCAGCCTGGGCTACAATGCGAGACTGTCTTGGGGGGAAAAAATTGGTAACACATTTATATGATGAGAGAAAATATTTGAAAGGTTCAAATATCAGAAAGTAAATACATCTCTGTCCACCCCGATCCTACCACCTTTTTTCACTCCTCAGGTACAAACAGCGTTACTAATTTCTTTACCCTTCAGAGGTTAGCTGTGCACTCCTCATCTGGTTTATATATCTAGCCTCAAATACATTATAAATATTCCATGCACCCCACCCTTTTTACACAGGTGGTAACGTGCTCTTTGAAACGTTGTTTTTCCCATTAATATTTCTTGGCAGAATGAAAGGAGTGCTCACAGCACTCTTTACGAAGGCCGTCTGTTTTAGAGCTCTGTGTTTCTGATGCTAAGAAACTCTTGTTTAGGCAGCAGCTTTGT